ACAATTTCTACCCGACTGAGTTAGTAACTAATAGCTAGCATCTGTTGTGTCTGCGAGCTTTTGCAATGCTCTAACAACGCTTCAACGTACATAGTTCAAGTTACTGAATTATCTCGAATGCGACGGTATTCGCACTATGATACCATAAATCATAACCTGCCCTAACAAGTTGTGCGTATGGTGGGTCTAAACGCGCCTATTTGCTACTATCCGTGCCGACGTCATTGTTGTGGCGTCAAATTGAATGACGACAATAATAGTTCATCAACAACATTAACGTGATTCAATTCGCATCAGCCAAAATGGCAAAATACCAGTTTTCACCATTTAATTTCAATTAACTTTTTTACTTTTAATTTATAAAGTGATAATACGAGTAACATTTTAAAATTTTAATTGTTGACGTGGTTGCTCATTTAAGTGGAGTGCGTATCTTAAAGATATAAAAAAACACGCATTTTTAATTTTGGCTCTAAATTGTGTCTGTCACTTGTAATGGAAAAGGAAAAGCTGCGTACATTTTTCTAGGTTTATTCGCCTCACTGCCAAATCTTATCTCCTCACAATAAACTTAATGAGGTTTTCTATTTTAACAGTAAAATGCATTTTCAACTCCAAACTTAAATGCGATTTTTCGGCTTAAATATATGTACGTATTTATTGAACGATTTGAGATAATGCGTTGAATAATTAACAGGTTTTGATTGTTTCTAATACAAATTGTACTTACGAGTATCTTTAATGGAGCGGCTTTGCCTAGACATCGGTACTCAGTCGAGCACATTGTTGTTAATCTGGTTGGATTTGTTGGATTACTATGAAAAAAATAGTAGTTTTTTGTCTAAATAATTATCTGGATAGTTTGTTGATTTGTTGTTAGTTCTTAGTAGCTTAAGAGTGGAGATATTAAACTGAAAATATATTAGGTGAATTGTTAAGACTGTAGTTAGTTGGTTTAGAGGTCATTAAAGCATTAAAGCTTAAGCCTATAATACAAATAGATTAATATGATAAGTGATTTAACTTTGAAAAGTAGAGAAGTAATTGAATAGTTTATGTATAAATTAAATATAGACGTATCTGCATGAATTCTCTACTATTATACCAATTTTGTTTTTGTGTTTGTTAAGTAATCTAGAAACATAATTCTTAATTAAATGTATACATTAATTTTAATTGATTACAGTGTGAAATGATTATTAATAACATATCTATTACAATATTTATATTTTAATAGCACTTAAAGTTTTGGAACAGATTAAGTTTATAAGTTCTGCTTAAAACTTTTTCTTATTTTTAGTTGCTCCATGTGATCTTAAGAGTTCTATCTATGAATCTATGTATTTATCTTTGAATCTATACAAAATGTATAAATCTATAAATATTTAATAAAATTGTATTTAATAATGTTTTTGACATCAGTATGAGAAGTTATAAAGATAAAATAATTTTAACAATTTATGTTATCTTTATAATAAACACATTGCCAATTCCTTAGTTTCAAGAAAATATTTGTTCTTTATTTTTTCCAAATGATTTAATTATTTTGATTTATATAGAAAGAGTAAAAAGTTCGCAAAAAATTGATTCTATATTGACAGATAAGGATGTACCTATTCTATTATACGGAAAATCTGTAGAACGTATGAATTAAATTCGGATGCATACCCAATGATCACAACATTTTATTAGATTAATTTTTCTTTTTAAAGAATTTTAACCATCCATTAAACATTAAATTTTTTTTTATGAAATCTAAAACTTAAATACGATTATAGATAACTAACTACATAGCATTAATATAAATAATTATTTACGGCAGATGTAAGTCGTGAAAAACATATATAAATATAAAATATAATGACCTCTTCTAATGTTGATAAATAAGTATTTACATAACAAATATTTATTGAATCTATATTTTATATTTTCTGTTTATTTATGAGATTAAATGGTATCGAAATTAAAAATGAGAGCATGTGCCCATCTATACATGTATTTTATATTATATTGTGTTAGACGTTAGAGAGAATTCATAGCGTGAAATTCTATGTGGTGCAAATCTTGGGTCTTTAACAACGAATTAATTTATTTAAGATAAAGCGTTTATTTACTATTTATGGTGTTACTATTTAGCACTTATTATTAAAAGCGAAAATTGTATCAAAACTATAAGTGCTATTTTACCCATTTAAAATTTGTAAGTCTATATTCTGTTGGGTAAAAATTATTCGATGTTTTTAATAAGAATTTATAAGAACTCCTTAATTTTATCTTATGTTTTCTTATTTTTATCATCTTTAACTTAACTTAGTATTTTATTATAATTATTTATTTTATTTTATTTCACACGAAATAATTACTACCAGTTGAGATTTCAACAAAACACTAAATAATTTAATAACGTTGTAGTCCCATCATATTTACGGCATGACCTTCCATTAAAATTTGTTTATACAGTTCCTGAAGCAAACATTTAACTTTATTTTGTAACTAGCTCTTTAAAATTCGGAACCCTTGAAATCAGTGTTTAATCATCTTGTCTTAAAATCAATGTTTAGTTCGTTTTAATGGCTCTTCAGTATTCTTGAACTTCTTAAATCAAAACTTGAATTTTCTATATTTCCATCGACTTTTTTGAAAAATATATTTACTATAGTGATGGTTTTTTTTGCAATCGATTAGGTATAGAGATTTTACAAAATCTTTTTTTAAGCAGGTACCAAATTCTTTTCTTCATAATAGTAAAATTGTTGAATAAAAAAGACATTGGCACACATATGATCAGGGGGCCGCATATAATCTCATTGTTCGATCTACCTTAACCCTCTCAACTACCTTTAGTAAACTAATTGGTGTTAATTACAAATTTTATGAATATTTTTTTAACAATCGTGCTCATTTGTGCTAAATCTTTTCAAGGTAGAAATCTCCTTTCTTCACATAATAATTGTTTAATCGTTTCTTTTGATTCTTCATATTTATAGATATTTATAAAAACTAATACTGGATACACAATGAATTCGCCTACATATCCATCACATAATTATTGCTCATAACGGACTTGTGTATATTGAGACTGACAATTCTCTCAGTTAAACTTAGAAGAGTGTTTACTCTCTTGAGGTATATTGTTGTCCTTGTTTTAACTGGTAGTTAGGTTAGGTTAGGTTAGGTTAGGTTAGGTTAGGTTAGGTTAGGTTAGCTTAGGTTAGGTTAGGTTAGGTTAGGTTAGGTTAGGTTAGGTTAGGTTCGGAAGGCGCGTATATGCCTCCACTCGGAGGCATATATTACCCATTGTGATTTTCCGGGAGAGGCGAGTTGATAACCTTTGTAATCCTTGTTAAACCATTTGGTTTTCCGGATGAAGTTGAGGAGATCCGATAAGTTTGCATTAAAGATGGCGACTTTAATGCAGTCGCCAGTACTGCAAAGTTTGCAGTCTGAAGTACTGCAAAGAGAAACAGAAAGTAGTTGACAGATTCTAACTACTCTTCATCTTGGCAACTCCTGCATAATCCACTTTTTCGAACTCGTCACCGCTGAAGCATAGACGCAATGACACAGTGCCCCGTTAGTACTCCAGTAAGCACACGAACTGCAGGATTGCTGAAGCCTAGAATGTTTTTCATTTTATTTTTGTCTAACCTACATAGACCATAAGGCTCTAGCGACCTCACAGTCTTCGCGAGTAGCCCATACACTCTTGGTCACCGTCTTGGTGATTTCCTCTATTATCCTAAACAGTTCACATATCGGTATATGTATTGAGAGGTCGGTCTCTCCTGTATGCAGTTCACAACCTCTTCTGACCATCTCTGCTAGTTCATTCCCTTCAATATTGCTATGTCCAGAAACCCAACAGAGAGAGATCTTGTGATGTTTGATGCTCATCAGTGATGCGTGACATTTCAATACAATCTTGGTTTTAACCGTTTTGGATTTAATTGCTTTCAGTGCGGCCTGGTAGTTAGTTTAAGCTAACTTTGGTTTCTTTGCTTGATAAGATATTTGAAGTAGGAATTTCTATTTCTAACAATATTTTGGAACTATATTAAAGGTCCTTTGTCTGGTGAGACTGTTGAAGAAATTCCTATTTTTAACATTTTTATTAAAAATATGGCTCTTAAAAAAAAGTAGTGTCGCATCTGACTAGTGCACTATTTTACACAATATTATTCTTATAAGTAACCGAAATTACACGAAATTTGTTTACGTCCTTTCATTAAATTTATTCAAAGGTCCTGCAGCTCGGCTTTTCCCTATTCCTGTTACTCGTATTGTGCAATGATATCGCTATAAAATATAGTTACTTACCTTAGTATCTACGGATGTCACTTATCTTTGCTTTATAATAATTTTTAACAAACAGCATGAATCTAAATAAAACTTTTATATTGATATATAATTGCTTAGATTCAATTAATAGTTTACAACGCCGAATACATTTTCTCCAGCCTCAAATGCTAATTTATATTGCTGAAACAGCATAAATACAGATTAATAAGCAATACTTTTCTACGGTTTTCTAAAATTATTACACATAAATTTTTCTTAATATAGAAATTTTGTTAAAAACAGCACTGTTTAAACTTGATCTAGTAGTATTGAAAAACTTCAATGTCTTCAGATATTGATTAAAGTCACCAATGCAAGAGAAACCAATATACTACTTTAATATTGCATTGCCATCATAATTGTATTATATAGTTATTAATAAAATTAACTTAACCGAAACGAGAATGTGGTGGTGGTTTGACGAGAGGCATCGTTAGATAGACCTCCTTAGACTCTCAAAAATGTTCGACGTTTAGTTTTCCAGTCATTGATCCTAAGTCATTTCCTAAGTCTTCGTTGTGATTTATTGTTATTATACGTTTTCGGTTTAATATTAATTTTTACAATTTATTATATCGAAAATATTAATATAACTAATATAGTAAAAAATGAAAATTGTCGACTTCCAATAAATGCAATTTTTTTTGTCTTCCTCATTTCAGGTGCAGTTGATGCCAACGTTTTTATCTCTAAAAGGTTTACAGTCTTCAAATGACGTTTTGAAAGTTTTACTTCCTCGAAGCATGCATTAAAAATTAATGACGGAAGAATAAAGCAAAAAGTGAAAGGAAGAAATTGAGTGCCATAAAAGAAAACAAAAACAAAGAAAAACGTTATGTAATACAAAATATATCTAGAAAAGCAAAAACAACGAATTCCGTCCAATAATACTGAGATTAATGTGCCTTTATACAACAGCTTATTAATAAAATTTAAACTAATTTTAAGTAATTTTACAAAACACGTCAGTCTTCCAGAACAGCCATAATTTGTCGTTTAATTTAAGAGATTTTCTATATGAAAAATAAATAATTGCAAAAAAAGTATTAACTTCAGAATAAAATGTCCTCATCGCCTGCTGCTACAAGCGTCATCACAGCCAACGAATTAGCTTTGCCTTCTCACGTTGTTATGCATCGTGGCAGTCATCAAACCGAAGTACGTCTCTCTCCACAACAAGTAACAACATCCACAATAACAGGACCTTCAAGTACAAATATCATAACAACTACTACACCTGCTACCACAAACGGTTTGTCGTTAATCACACCGAACGTAATGCATCGTTCACCGGACAGTCCACAGCCAGAATTGGCAACAATGACAAATGTAAATGTGCTCGATTTACATACTGATGCTTCAAAATTGTATGATAAGGAAGCAGTTTTCATATATGAAAGCCCTAAAGTAGTGATGCCCAATGTGGGTACAGCACAGTCTAATGAGCATATAATTGATGCACGTATGGTGGCACAGTTGAATCAGCAACAGAACGCGGTATCGCAAGCTGATCAACCGCTTGCAAAAATAGAGTTTGATGAAAATCAAATTATAAGAGTGGTGGGACCTAATGGAGAACAACAACAGATTATATCACGTGAGATCATAAATGGTGAACATCATATTTTATCACGCAACGAAGCTGGTGAACATATTTTAACTAGAATAGTCAGTGATCCATCGAAATTATTGCCAAATGATAGTGCAGTTGCTGCGGCAATGTTTAATCAGGCACAAAAACTCTCAAACGATCATAATGTATATCAAACTTCACCGCTCGATGCTTCTGTGCTACAACACTATGAAGCAGAAAATATTGTAAAAACTGAAGTCGATATTTATGATGAACATAAAAAGCCCACTGTTACCAGCAATGGACAAATTATTTATACCATATCTGAACCAGATGCGAAAAGTATTGGTCACCTGCCTACTAAAATAGATCCAGATCTTTATGGCAGTGAAAAGCATGTTGATTTGATATATAACGATGGCAATAAAACGGTAATATACACTACGAGTGATCAAAAAGGCCTTGAGATATATTCTGGCAGTGATTTAAGTGGTCTTGTTGCTGATGGACAAGTCGTAGTACAAGGTGGTTTGCAATATGCTGGTCAAGGCGGTGCTGGAGGTCAACCTGTATATATTGTGGCAGATAGTTTGCAAGGTAGCATAGAAGGACATCTACAAAGGTAAGTTAACATTTTTTTTTCATTTTTTATTAATTTTAACTTTTGATACATAAACATCAAAATCATATCAATTAAATATAATTAATATTTAATTTAATTACAATATCTGACTTGTAAGGTACAGAATGTAATAAATTAAATAAATTAATTTAATAGTGAAGGTGCGGTTGTTAATTTAAATACTCTACTTTAGTATTATAAAAATGATAGTGAAAAATTTTAAATATGCATATAAATGCATTACAAATCTATGTATGAACGCATAATTAAATGAGATAGTTGTTTTAAGGTTTACATTAGTGAAATATTCTGAACAGGAAGCGAAACTAACATAAATACGTTTCAGAACTAGTTGGGCTTGCGCCAAAAAGTATTATTACTCGTTCATTGCTACTTTATGGAAGTACTATACTATAAATAAGTCACCCAAGAAAAAATTACCTTTCATACTTATCCGAAAAATTTACAGATGGATGCTCTTTGAGAAATTTGTACACTTATAGTCAAAAATATGTTTCCAAAAGATATTTAATCAATCGTAGAACCAAAAAAAATCATATTTGGTATGTAGCTCATCAGATCAAACTAGGACCTATAAAATACACGAAAGTTTTATACCATGGAAAGCGATTAATTTTAATCCTAACAAGTGTTATCGCCGCACACTCTCTTAAAGGTCAACTTCTCTTAAAAATAGGTATAATATTCAGTGACTGCTGCAAACGTTGTGGCGAAGTCATGAAATACCTTCTCTGTTGCCCTTGAGAGCGTTATAAAGGAAAAAACGGATAAACGGTCTTATCATCAGTTTGGCTTAAGTAAGTCAAACTCCAATAATAAAATTCTATTAAAAATATAGAGCTCCTGGAAATACATAATAAATTCGTTCCCAAATGAAAGGTGGCGTCAGTTATGTTTTTCCATCTCAATTGTTCGTTCTCAAAGAACTTGAATAAAAATTTCATTTCAGTCATTGCGAGTTTGATGTGCTCAGTAAAATGTGATGTGACCAAGTATAATCTAAAGGTGAATTGTTCGTTCTCAAAGAACTTCAATAAAAATTTCATTTCAGTCATTGCGAGTTTGATGTGCTCAGTAAAATGTGATGTGACCAAGTATAATCTAAAGTTGAATCTAGCAGGGATATTTGTTTTGTACTATCTTTAATAAAGCCGTTAAAATTTCATATTAGAACCAGGTGGATACAAGTATCTATAACTAAATACAAGTATCTGGCGAATACTAATGTTAGAAACAATGGAGCACCGAATAGCTTAAGCCTGGTTCCAAACAAGCCTGAATATAAATACAACAGGTCCTTTGGTATCTGCGAAAACTGGTAGAGAGGCACTAGATGATATTCATAAAGGCACCAAGCTTGGCTCCATGTCGTACTATACTCCACTATCCAGTTGGGGGATCTATTAACCTAGATACTTTCGACTTCCTTTAATGTTGTAATTTGGTAGTTCTACATTTAGAATATAGCGGCCATGTAGATCTTGACCTGGTTGTTGAAGAAATATGAACCCAATTCCCATTTATCTGTCAAAGGTGTAAAAAGAAATTATAATTATTATATTTTTTTGTAGGAACAGGGTACACTAGCTGCTCTATTAACAAAAAAGCTTTAGCAGAAAGCTTTAATAAGAATCACTATTCAAAAAATAAAATCCCTACTAAACTTATTAGTAGGGATTATTTATCTGGAAATATTTTAAAGTCTGTGTAATTTTAATTATAATTAAAAATTTGTATAAACTATGGTTAGACTCATATAAATTTGTTTTACATATATTATATACTAATATCGCTAGTAGCATATAATTTTTTCAGCTACGTTATTGATATGATATGATGATGATATGATATGATTTTATGAGCCAAACAAAAAAATATTTAAACGTGTCGCTCATCAGATCAAAATGAGACCTAAAACATAAATGAAAGATTTTTTTCCATCAGAGAGATGAATTTCAATCTATTTTATTTCTACACTATACAGCGGACGACATTCTGGCCTTCATTCGAAAGGTGGAATGTCTTTTGTTCGGTTAGAGTCTGCTCGCTAGTACCCCGTTTATTCCTAACCTATCCCATCCTATGTCTACACTATTATAGCCAGTAGCATACAATTGTTTCAGTTAGATTATTGAAAGAATTTTTGGAGTAAAGATAGTTTAATATGAAAAAATCTATTCCAAGATTTCTCTTTTTTGTATTAATACATTATTAATTTAATATAATTTTAATCCTTACGGCTAAAGTTTAACTCCGAAAACTTCTACACTTTAGCAAAGTAGCTATTAGTCGACCATAGCAATATACAAGTGTAATCAACAGTTATCCATAAATTTTCAAGGTGCCAATAATGTTACATTTAATTTTTTATAGCATATATATTAAAAAAAAATCAAAAAAATATTAAATATACCCACTTACAAATGTAATGCAATTAAATTTTGTGAAACATATATTTACTGCAACAATTTATGTTGTTCGAAGTAATCTAATATTTCACAAACAACATGTGCCTCTTCTGTTCAAATTTACGAACACAAGAATTGAGCAGTGGAGTTTTGAAGTGCAACTCCATCGGAGCTGTAACGATCGCCTGGCATATCCAAATATTGTTGAGACATATATATGATATGTATATATGTAATATATGTTGCCATGTTGCAACTGTTTACATCCTGTTGAATGTGCATGATGCTTTTAATTACCTTTCTACATGTCACAATAACGTATCCAGTCCAGTCTCTTCACTCTAGATTCGATTTTAAGTTTACTTGCTGCTGTAACTATTTTTCATTTGACGTGATCCGAATTTTCAAGTGGGCGAGGCTCTAACAACTGTGCGCGGTACGCTTTATCTATAGTGGTAAGCCTGTACACAAACTTAGATACATACATACGTGTAAAATGTGCATAATTGTGTCGCAGGCAAAGTCCAAACATAACATTTCATTTCATAGCTCTGGACGACTTTGGTTATAAAAATTTGAATAGAAATTAATCTTACGAAAAACCGTTAACCAGAAGCTGAAGCCGAAGCCGAAGCTGAAGTATAGACAAATGCAAATGCAGCGTTCCACCACAGCGTGGTATGCCAAATACTCGTAACCGCCATGGTTAAAGTAACTATGGCTTAAATAAAGCACTTTACTCTACTATATATAAGTTAATATCTATTGGAATGAGTATGCTTATGTGTTTATACACATATTTTTATATATATATAGATGTATGTTTATATGGATAGTGCATATTATAAGATGCCATAGTTACATTCGTTGTACACGTCCATAAATAATGACAAAATTGCATTTCCGCATATGGAAAATAGAAACTTTTGGTCGCACTCACACTGGCACTAGCGCTAGCGCTAGCACTAGCACTAACGCTAACACTAACACTAACACTCGCATTGCCATTTGCACTTAAAATGAAACGCTTCGCAGTCTACCCTGTTGTTAATGGATGTTTGTGCAGTGGTGTTGCACCAAGGATGGACCGACCGATTGTACAAAGATGCTTGGCTTGTAGCTGTAGCCTGTGCATGCAATCAATCTTTGATGAACAGCAAGCCAGCTTAGACTTTTTATTATTATTTTCTTAGTTTGTTTTTTTTTATTTTTTATTTCATTTTGGTTTGTTTGTTTTATAAAATTTCTCCATGTTCGCAATGTAGGGAATAATAGAATGGATGTGTGCGATTAACTTCCTCGCTTTATACCCTATTTCTATGAAGCTAGCGCTATTTGTTTTCTCTTTTTCTAACTTAGATATTCATAAAACTATAAAAGCAAAATGGTGCTGACGATTGGCAGTACCGTGCTGCGCTGATCCATTTGAGT